ACAATGTATGCTAGATAACGATTAAATAAAGGAACAAGGTTCCCACGAGCTTTCAATTTAGTATTTATGAGGTTTGTAAGAGAAAGCAAGGCATGTTGGTGGGGTTGTGCCACTCCCAATATACATTTGAATTTCGAAATTAATATGGCTCAACTTTCCAAATATTCTCCCTCCCTATTTATTTCCTTCTTCTTAAGTTCCTTTCATTTATTTAATATTTCCTTAAAATATGTGAAAATATGTTTTATGTACCTTTGGAAAGAAAAAGAAAAAACATATGCATCGTCGTCTTAAAAAATTCACGATAGTGATCTTATTCTTATCGGAGTCTGTTTCTCAGGTCTCTTCTAAATTTATTCCCAACGCTTTCTATTTTTTCCAACTAATATTATATCGATCTCAAAAGTTATAAATGTGAATTATCAAAAAAAAAAAAGTTATAAGAAATGTGTTTTATTTATACTTTACATTTTTCAAAGAAAATACATACGTTACGTAGAATTTAATGTGAACCTGCCGACAAAAAAAAAGTAAACCAAACCAAAATTATCCTAAACCATAATATAATGTTTATAAATCCGGTACGAGAATCCGGTCATGCAGAGTCAAACCTGAAACAAGCTAACGAAAAAGCCCTAAAGAAAACCAGTTTTCGAGTTGACCATTGGACATTGGGAATCTTGACTTGAGCGAGTTTAACTGAAAACCCTAATCGAATTCCCAACACGGAACCCATCAAAATAGTTCTTTCTTTTTTTCGTTGAGTTAGTTCTTTGATATGTTTAGTTTTCTTGATCTTGAGCCTTGTCTATGTCATTGTGAATACAAGTTTTGTTTGAAAAGAAAACCCGTTGTGATGTCTACTCAGACTCGCCAATTCGACATATATCCTTTTGTCCCTGATATATGTTTTTTCATAACTATGAAAATGTTAAGTTATCTATTATGCTTTCGACTGATTATATTTAAACGTTACAACTTCTTCTCTTTCATCTACTTTCAACTTCTTTTTAATGTTTTAGGTTCTATGCTCCGGATATTAATATTCCTCGCCACAATTTTTGTCATCTAATTTTGAAGATGTAATACTTACGTAAATAACAGAAATGTCAATTATCTCATTATATCATTGACCAAATTTATACTATGTTCTAAAAGATTTGCATTTGTAGAATAGTAAAGGGAAAAAAAAGGTGAAAAGAAAACAATAAATATGTGCTTTGTGTTTGCTGCATGTTAAAACTGTATGCCCATTTTTAGATTATAAAACAACCCTCTATTATTACTTTCATTTCAAAATATTTTTAAATAGTAAACACAAACTGAATTTCTAGTTATGATTGTGTTTACAATTTGCAAACGACATTTTGCCAAAAAGATATAAAAACGCATTATGCAGGCGCAAATTTATACGTTTGAAATGTGTAAATGGGATCGAGAAACGTCAAATATAAGAACAAGCCTCAAACTCATTCGTGGGATGCACTATGTGAAACTCCAAAACACATTAAAAAGTAAATAATACTAGTAAATTAATTGAGATATTTCAAAGGAGAAAAAAGAGAGCCAGAAGCACGTTTTTATTTATCAAGAAGTAGAATCCTTCTTCTTCCTTTGTACAAGATTCTTCATCCAATTGACACCAATAAAAGCAACAATCTTAGCTCTGTTAATTCCTGCTTTGGTCTTACCGGACTTCTTCCCAACGACGTCTTTTTGTCCGTTCGTTGTCTCCTCCGCCGCCATCACCCCAATTCCTCCGGTTCCCCATTGATCTGCCCAACTTGGTGCTTCACTCGCCATTTTTATTGTGATCACAATATCTTATGTGCCTATAAAATAATATCTTAATCAAAAATATCTTCTAATGGATTCATGCATAACAGAACAAAAAAAATACCTCTGATTCTTGAAGCTCTTCTTGGTGAAGAGAGAAGATTTTGAATGAGAAAATAAGTGGAAATTTGGTGAATGGAGACTAATAGTGGATGGGTTGTCAATTTTTATTTTTTTAAATGTGAATATAATTATATTATTTATTTAGGTTGTCGTCTTTGAGTCTAAAGTATTTTTTTAAATAGTATATAAATTGAGTTTAATATAACTATTTAGGTTGTCTTGGAATGGACTTGCCAACTCAAGTTAGTTCGTTTCCAACTTGCAAAGCAAACGTTGTTTTTGGAATCTTTCAACTTTTGTTAAAAGCAATTAAAAACAAGCAAAGATATAAAATCACCAAACTTCATGTAATAATTTTTTTTGAAGTTTCATTATTTAACTCTATAACTTCGTTCTAGACATCGGAATCATCTTTCTTGGACGTTTAGATCGATTATTCAACATTTATGATTGACGACTTTAA